TCCCAACTCTCGGTGTCTGGGGCTGGGGCCTCATTTGGAAATCGGGTCTCCGCAGATGTGATTAGTGAAGGATCTCGAGAGGAGACCATCCTGGATTAGAGAGAACCCTAAATCCCATGGCAGGTGGCAGAGAAGGAGACACAGACGCAGAAGAGAAGCCACGTGGAGACGGAGGCAGAGACCAGAGTGACGTGGCCACAAGCCCAGGGACGCCCGGAGCCCCCAGGAGCCGGAAGAGGCAGGAAGGAGCCTCCCCCGGAGCCTGCGGAGGGAGCGCGGCCCCGAGACACCCGCGTCTCACACTCCTGGGCTCCGGGACAGGGGGAGAATAAATTCCTGAACAAAGTAAGCACAGGACGCCAAACCTGGACAGGGCCATTGGGACGGGCCACAGGTAGATGTGGACAAGGTCCCCACGTCCCCGGGGAAGTCGATAGCTGCAACGCTCCCCGTGCTTTGCAAAGCCCGCTGTGCACGACTGAGGGGTCCGAGGGGAGGGGTGGGCTTGCTAGGACCCTGAAGGCTGAGAGTTACTGGAGGCGGGGGACATTCCGGAAAGAGGGAGCGTCTTTCGGCAGGAAGACAGCGCCTCGGTGGTTGCCGCGGAGCTCTGCGGAGGCTCGTGTCCGGCAGAACTGTGCAGTCAGCACGGCCGGGAGAGTTTGAAGCCTCTCTGAGCATTCGTCCTGGGGTGTCCATCGAGCTTCCCAGGTCTTGCCAAGCTACTCAGCGCTGTTTGCATTTCTCTACGTGTGTGTTTTGCAGCCGTGCGTCTTCCTTCCCTGATGTTAGGCTGGGACGGGGAGGAAGGGGACCAGGGGCTGTGTCTCGGGGGTCACTGAGGGGCAGATGGCACCAGGAGATGCTCCGTCCACAATAGGAGGAACAAGGTGACCAGAGAGGGCTCCCAAGGGGGAACAGATGTCTGGTCTACGACAGGGGGTCTCCAAGCACTGCCCAACCAGAAAGAGGCAGAAAACACCGCAAAGTGGAGATACGACCAAGGCCACCAAAGAGGGTCTCTGGAGTGTGCACACAAGCAACATGACAGTCTCCTCAATGACCTACCCTCGTTAACACAGTAAAAATTACACCCATGGGCCGGGTGCGGTGGCTCACGCCTGTAACCCTAGCTCTCTGGGAGGCCGAGGCGGGCGGACTGTTTGAGCTCAGGAGTGCGAAACCAGCCTGAGCAAGAGCGAGACCCCCGTCTC